AGAATATTTTTTCTGCTGAAACTATGCTTTCCACAGAATCCTCGTATTGAAGAGCCCCAAATGTTGGTTTGATTTTTTTGGTAAACATTTGGTCACAAGTAATGTAAGAAAGGATATTAGGAAATAATAATCATATATGAGGTTGTCAATTCATTACAAATAATTACTTAGAATCAGAATCAGAATCAGAATCAGAAAGGGTTTATTGCCAGATGTTGAGCAGGTTTACAACATTAGGAAATTGCTGCGGTGCTTCAGTGCAACATACTGTCATAAAAATATAAAAATAAGAATAAGAATTAAAAGTGCTAAGTGGATAGATATATACATGATATATACATGAGTGCAGGTGGTGATCAGTGCCAAACATGGAATGATGCAGTGAACACAGCGTAGGGTCATGTGTTAGTGGTGGGAACAGTCATATGGTTATTGTTCATGTGTCCGACAGCAGAGGGGAAGAAACTGTTCTTATGGCGAGAGGTTCTGGTGCGAATGGACCGGAGCCTCCTGCCTGAGGGGAGCAGGTCAAACAGACTGTGTCCAGGGTGAGAAGGGTCAGCTGAGATCCGAGCTGCACGCCGCAGTGTCCTGGAGGTGTACAGGTCCTGCAGAGATGGGAGTCTGCAGCCAATCACCTTCTCAGCAGAGCGCACAACACGCTGCAGTCTCTGTTTGTCCCTGATAGTGGCTCCAGCGTACCACACGGTGATGGAGGAGGTGAGGATGGACTCGATGATTGCAGTGTAGAATGCATCATCGTCCGTGTTGGCAGGTTGAATTTCTTCAGCTGCCTCAGGAAGTACATCCTCTGCTGGGCTTTTTAATGACGGAAGTGATGGTGGGCTCCCACTTCAGGTCCTGGGTGATGGTGGTACCCAGGAAGCGGAACGAGTCCACAGAGGTGATGGGGGTGTCAGTCAGGATGATGGGGGGGAGTGGAGCTGTGTGCTTCCTGAAGTCCACAATAATCTCCACTGTCTTCTGGGCATTCAGCACCAGGTTGTTGTGGCTGCACCAGGACACCAGACGTTCAACCTCCCTCCTGTAGGCAGACTCATCCCCGTCCGAGATGAGTCCGATAACGGTGGTGTCATCTGCAAACTTGATTAGCTTGACAGACTGGTGGGTGGAGGTGCAGCAGTTGGTGTACAGGGAGAAGAGCAGAGGAGAAAGAACACAGCCCTGAGGGGAGCCGGTGCTGATGGTCCGGGAGTCCGAGACATTCTTTCCCAGCCTCACATGCTGCTTCCTGTCCGTCAGGAAGTCAGTGATCCACCGGCAGATGGGATCAGGCACATTCATCTGGGAAAGCTTGCCTGGAGATGGTCTGGAAGGATGGTGTTGAAGGCAGAGCTGAAGTCCACAAACAGGATCCTGGCGTAGGTTCCTGGGGAGTCCAGATGCTGCAGGATGAAGTGTAGGGCCATGTTGATGGCGTCATCTACAGACCTGTTGGCTCTGTATGCAAACTGCAGGGGGTCCAGGAGGGGGGCCGTGAGGGTCTTGAGATGGGAGAGAACTAGGCGCTCAAATGACTTCATGACCACAGATGTCAGAGCCACGGGTCTGTAGTCATTTAGTCCAGTGATCCTAGGTTTCTTGGGGACAGGGATTATGGTGAGGACTTGAAGCAGGCAGGCACATGACATGCCTGCAGTGAGGAGTTGAAAATGCCAGAAAACACTGGGGCCAGCTCGTTTGCACAGTGTCTGAGGGTGGCAGGAGACACACCGTCTGGGCCGGGAGCTTTTCGAGCATTCAGACTCTTAAACTGCTTCCTCACATCTGCTTCATGAATATGAAGAGTTGTGGTGGGAGGAGGTGGTGTGAAATCCTCTTTTGTGTGGGGTGAGGAGGGGGGTGTTGCAGGTGAAGTGATTGAAGGTGGTGATGGCTCTATGGAGGGGGGAGAGGTGGGGGAATGAGTGTCCAAAGTGTCTCTATTGTTGGGGCCGTTGGAGGTGTGAAGGCTGCCTGATGGCTCGTCAAAACGGCAGTAGAAGTCGTTGAGGGTGTTGGCCAAGAGCAAGTCGTCAGTGGAGTGGGGGGTTTTAGGCTTGTAGTTGGTGATATTCCTAAAACCTTTCCACACAGAGGCCGAGTCATTCTCTGAGATCTGCTGCTGCATCTTCTCAGAGTGCTGATGTTTAGCAATGTCCACTTCTTTAGTGAACCTGTACTTGGCCTCTCTGTAGCAGTCCCTGTCTCCGCTTCTGAACGCCTTTCTCTTTTCCAGCCACAGCTTTTTGAGTTTAGGAGTAAACCAGGGTTTGTCATTGTTATAACTCACCCTGGTGCGTGATGGCACAATGCTGTCCTCACAGAAGTGGATATAGGAGGTGACAGTGTCCGTAAACTCGTCCAAGCTGTTAGAAGCAGCCTTCATTGTGTCCCAGTCTGTAGACTCCAAACACGTGCGAAGCTCCTCCACAGCCTCGTTGCTCCACAGTTTTTTGTCCTCACGACAGGTTTGGAGAGCTTCAGCCTCTGTCTGTACGCGGGGATTAGGTGGATCATGACGTGATCAGAAAGTCCGAGTGAAGCGCGGGGCACCGCACGATAGGCCCCGCTGATCGTGCTGTAACAGTGGTCTAATGTCCTCTCCTCTCTGGTCGGGCATTTAATATACTGCTTGTATTTGGGAAGCTCAATTATAAAGCTTAATTATAAATAATGAATTTGCATCCCCTTAAAGTTCAAACTAATGTCAGCCTCTACCTTTATTACTGTCACCTGTGTTTAATCTGCCAAAGACACTGCTGATTTTACCTTTATTTGATAGATTTTCCTGTTATTAAGTCAAGCTTTCCAGAAATGTCCTCCTATACCTAGAATAGTCTTTTTGTTTATTTTATAACCCATATTTAGGGTTTGATTTATTTATATATTACCTTTTGTAGTGTTTTGGGATTTTTACTGCATTTTGTCCTTTCATTAAGTATCTTTTCAGCCTTTTTGTTTAGATGTGTTAATGCTATGAAATTCCAAAAGAGGAGATATTTTTAATGGAATGGTTTAAGTTTAAACACTTCATGCTTTGTATGATCTATTGTGAACATTCCCTTTAGAACCAATATTTTAACCCAATAAAGATGTTGTGCCCACAAATATTGCTAAACTGAAGCAGTGTTCTGAAAAACAGAATTGTTTTATCGACAATTACAAGAAATAGATTTGACTAGCTCTTGAATTCCACCACCTGTGTAAATATTGACTATGTCTTTAAAATGTCTTGCTAAAAAACCAAGACATTTGAATGTTTTATTCTCAGAAGAAACTAGCATTTCTAAATTTAACTGCCACCAATGAGGGACAGCATTCAGTAAAATGGTAGTAGTATCTTTTCTTTGTGGATTGTGTATATTTTCATACAGGTTTGATAGGTTTGTAGCTTGAACCTATTCGCTGGAACGTTAAGGACAACTTGCTACACAGCAAAAAGCAAGACACAAGGCACCAAAGTTCTTCGTGTTACTCATGCACAGTGTTGGTCAAGTTACTTGAAAAAAGTAATCAGTAACTAATTACTGATTACTTCCCCCAAAAAGTAATCCCGTTACTTTACTGATTACTTATTTTCAAAAGTAATTAATTACTATTAGTTACTTTTTAAAAACACGATTTACAACCTGAATAGGTGATAAAGCGATAGATCTTTCAGCCCAATTCTACTTTTTCTGCATAATCCATCATACAAAATGTAATCAAATGGAAAAGTCTCTTTTTAAAACTTGTTTTATTAGTTTTAATCTTTTAACTTTATGCATCAAGCAAAAATTTAATTATATGCAACATTCTCTGACTGGAAGAAATTTGTTTAACATTTAAACCTATTTTCTGCACATTCCAGCACATAAAATAATATTTTTTGTGTTTACACTCAGTCTTTCAAATAAAGAAAAGGTAATCTAATTACCGTTTTTGTAATAGTAATCCCTTACTTTACTCGTTACTTGAAAAAAGTAATCGGATTACAGTAATGCGTTACAAGTAACGCGTTACTGCCCATCTCTGCTCATGCATGAGGGAGACCTGCCTGGAGCCAAGTGTCGTTCCACCACTTGACCTCTGTCAGACTCTCAGCCAGGTTCCCCATAGCACTCCTTTTATAGGGCTTCGGAGCGTGATGTCACGGGGGTGGGCGTGGAAAGGATTTTGGCCCGATTCACCATTTTGGGGGTCTAAGCTAGGAGCGATAGCATAGCCATGGTTCGTACTTGCTGTGTGCTCGGCTGCAATGTTCGATCTTACGACCGGCACGGGAATAAGGTTGGATTGTCTTTTTATGCTTTCCCAACCTGGAAGCGACATGAGGCAGCTCGTGTATCGATGTTACCAAACGAAGGCGTCCAGCCTGGAGAGCAGCTGTGAGACGAGCTGACGTGCAGCTCTCTTCCATCTCCAAATATCTGTTGGTGCTCCAGACATTTTCATTCCGGTAAGTTCTAAATATGTTCATACTCTTTATAGCCTATTAGTTTCATTTTCGATGCGCTCTGAGCTCATAGCAAATTAGAACAAACAGCCTACTGAGTGATTTTGCAGAACTACCTTCTATTTATAGAGTTGCTAATTATTTGGACATTATTGCAGCAAACCAGCCGATGAAATGGAGTGAAACATCATGACTGGGTTCCAGCGCTACACGAGGGACCTGCTTCAAACATACCACCATGCCAATCAGATTACTTCTTCCATGTGAGGGTGAAGAGGTGACCCTCCTGGATAAGATGGTGAAGGTTTGCTGCGTTTGGTGAACAGTGTGATAATAAAACCAGAGAAGAATGAAACCTGCTCCTGTTAAATATTCTTAAGTCTTGTGCTGTTATTTTTTCAAAAGATACAGTAAATAAAGTAATGTTAGTAGTGGGTGATATCATGTAAACACTCATGATTTTTGTAAACATTTTGTCATTTGTAAACTGTAAATGACATCATCACTGTAACTGATGTGATGTTCTATAAAGTGGTTTTAATAAAAAAAAAAAAAGGCAAAATTATTTTGTTTCTTTATTCAACTTTTGAACAGCGGGACTCAGTCAGTACATATTCAGTAAATGCAAATTATTTACACGGCAGTGCACTACAGGCATACATCTAGACCCCTAGATAAAACATGATGGCATTATAGCAGTGACAACTCCTCCACAGTAGCAGGTGGGATTTTTCTGTTTTGAGGCTCCTTTTCCCTGTCACTACAGATTGTCTGTGTATGTTTTGATCAAGAGCCTTTTTTTGGGCAGCTGAAGAGGAGAAGTCTATCTTATGGCCAACCTCTGGCTGTATCTTGGTCACATTACCCAGCAAACCCAGTATGCAGGTTCATGTGTAACAGTCCTTGTGCCACGGATCAACACTGTTCCATCTACTTTAGACAGAAGAGCAGCGACATGGCTGCAGGTCTCTGCGACTCCGGCCATGCAGCTGCAGCGGGCGGCTTCAACCTTCCCTGTGATGCTCACAGTGACCCATGGCTGCAATGCTGGTTCATTCAGTCTTAGAGTGCAGCACCTGAAACACACACAAAGTTCATTTAAAGACAAGAACTATGAGCCAAGGCCGACACAAATGTGTTTTATCTACTTTATCATAAATGTAAAAAGTGTTTAGAAAGTTAGCACAGACATGTCATTTTTCATTTCTTTATGTGTCCATCTATAGAACGCTGCAGGTTATAGTCTAAATCTGTCTGTTCTGTCAGAAACCTGCCTGCAGAAAATGAACCTAAAGTATGTAATGCAAGGATGTCATCACTGTAGAGATGGAGAAAGCATAAAGTGACAATTATGAATCACTTAATATGATAAGGAGATTCTGCAGGTCATTGATCAATATATAAAACTAAAATAAAATGTATTTTTAGTGACACAAGATACAAATATGGAAGCAAGATGTGTAATTAGGATTATTTATAATAAATATGAATAAAACATTGCAATTTCTTTAACCATAAAGAATAACTAAATGCTTCAGGACAATGTCTCATCAATGCACTGAACTCACTATGTTATCCCTCTAACAGCCTCCACATGTTCTCACTGTAATTTCCCCTCATGAATGAATTTATGCTGCACTAATGTGAATGTTTGCAGGGAAATCAAACACATTTTACACGCAGTACTCGAGCTGACTTACCTTTGTTTGAATGACCACTTGTACGCGCTGACTCCACAGACAAGGTATGAAATATGTCAGGCTACGTCAATAGCGGTTGGTCTTCAGGGTTTCTACTCCACGGCCGTATTTCATACGGGTCCACATTTCCACTGCAGCTATTTTCTGCAAGTACCGCCGCTTCGCCTCTGGACGCAATCGGTCTCTATACAGTCCATTCTCGTTTGAGCAGCTTTTAAGCATCTTGTAATCGTCGTTCCAACACAGTGTGTTTGTTTTGATTCGTAGACCCCGAAAATGCCGCCGCGCTCCCACAATGCATTGCGGCGTGACGTCAACTCCGAAGCCCTATTGTGACAGAATGCAAGGTCATTAACATAAACATTCATAGTATGATGTGTGTGTGTGTGTGTGTGTGTGTGGGGGGGGGTCAGAGTGTGACCCCATAAATCGACTTCCCTAAACCTGCTAGTCTAAAAGAAGACTAGCTACGTTAATCCTACCATAAAAAAATAAAACAAGGTACGATCTCTTCTCATGCTCCCAGGATGTAGGTGTGCATTCCAGTGTGTAATGCACACCAAGCCTTTGCAGCCTGCTAAAGATCACACATCCTATCACTGCACAATTGATTATACACCTCTAAGCATACATGGTTAAATATTTCTAAGCATAAATGACAATCAACAATACAAATCTAAACCCATCAGGTTAAAAATGGACAACTAAATGTATTTGATGTGATGTCAAGCATTTTGCACCTGTTTCCAGAAGTGCTAGCCTTAATTGGCTAGATTTCAAAGAATGTTTGCATGTTAATGCAATAACCAATTATCAAAAAACGGTCCTGATTTTAATATTAAAGAATTCAATAATTCAACTTGCACTACATCAAATGTATCATTGTTACTATTAGCTCACATTTTATCCTGCTAAATAGGCTAAAACCTCTATAATTATAACTAAATGACTGCTCTGTTGACTTCTTCTTGTCTTGCTACTACTGTTTTTGCTCTGCCTATTTATCTTACTATTTGTCCATGCTTCTTTTTTCATGTTGTTGGATGGACGAACTTTGTACAACAATTATCAGTGGAAATATTTTTGGAGGCTGAATGGAAATTGAATTTATTTAACTTTATAACTAAAAATAAACCAACTCTCCAAAACTAAAAATATTACTCTTACTAATTGGAAAAAAAAGGAAAGTATTTTTTTATGACAGTCCTGATAAATTATGGCGATTTTAAACAATGAATAGCTATTCAGTAGATTCTCTTTCCCAATATCATGCAAATTTGATATACATATTTAAAAAAACAAAACTCTAGACTCAAGCTTGATGAAAATGAAAAAGGGTCAAAGGATTGCAATCAGCAATGGCAATCTCAGTCTCAGTACCTCCAACTAAGGCTGTTCTATATCATGCAGCCCTGTTCTATATTAATGATAAGGGAAAGGAAAAACCTTCTCCTACCTTTTATTTCTTTTGATTTATGTACCTCTCTATCAAACATCCTCTGTAAAGGATCATTTCTCATATAAATTGCCAAATCCTGGTTTTTCCATTACATTGTGTGATCCCGTGTCCTCCAATGGCATACTAAATGTTACTTGTCTCACACATTTATTTGAATAACTGTTCTTTTTTCAAATAATACATGTCTATAGCCATATATCTGGTATTGGAAATGCTGAAAACGTTAAAAAGAAAAAAAAAAGAAAAACATGCAAAAAGATCAGTTGAAAAAAATATCACAGCTCTGTGCCTGTTCATGTCATGGTATGTTTGGTGGACCCAAATGCAGGATTCACAGCTTTCTTGTTCTATAAATTACAAATTCACAAAGGTAGAGCAGAATTTGAGCAATATAACACAAATATTAACAAACTGACATACAGAATATACAACATGGGAGTGCAACATGAAACTGAAGAAAACTGAGGGCTTAAACACACATGAGGTAAACATGAGGCAAAATACACAGGATGGAACACAGCAGGGAACACAGGTGAACCAAAGCTGACTAAAGAGACAGGGGAAGCAAAACTGAAAATATCGGCACAAGACAGGGGAGTAACAAAATAAAGCAGGAAGTAACACACAGTGAGACTCATTTTAAATTTATCTTTCATTGCACTTGGACATTAATGCAGAAAATGATGTCTCCTCTCAATATACAAGTCTGATTTGAATAATTGCATTCAAAGTGCATCATGTGACCCATATTCCTGAGGGCAAATGATCCTTTTGCCCTTGATATGTCTGTTCATGTAGTCATAAAATAATGTTCATGACTTCGTAGAGTAATGCCTCTTGATCTTTACCTACAAATTTATTTAATGAATTTATTTAAAGAAATGAGAGTCATCAGTAATCTGAGTGTGTAATATGTATGTATATATAACTCTGGAGACATATATTGGTGGCAACTTTTACACTATATGCGCCTGAGCAATCAGTCAACCTTCACTATAACTTTACGTGCTGTGTCACTTGGCCGAGTTACTGTGGTTCCTAAATGCTTCTACTTTACAAAGTTGATCATGGAATATCTAGGAGAGAGGAAATTTCATGATCTGAGATCTTTCAGTATGCTATTACAGTACCACATTTGAGCAGAGCAGCACAGAGCTACAGTGGTTAGCACTGTTCCCTGAGTTTGGCTTTCACCATCTGGCCAGCGGCCTTTCTGTGTGGAGTTTGCATGTTTTCCTCATGTTTTTGAGGCTTCTCTCTGGGTACCCCGGTTTTCTCCCACAGTCCAAACACAGGCAATTACAGGTATTAAATAAATAGATGGTTTTAAATTGCCCATAGGTGTGAATATAAAAGGTTGTCTGCAGAGGTGAAGTATTACTTTATTACTGGACTACAAATACTTCCTTTCCTGTACTTAAGTAGAATTTTCAGTTGTGTGTACTTTACTTGAGCATTTATTTTCCGGACAATTTTTTTACTTCCTACATTTTAACAGAAATATCTGTATGTACATTTTCAAAACAGGCTCGTTACTTCAGGTTTATTTGTATTATTTATTAGCATTTAGACTCTGTATGTAGCTAACTACAGAAGAGGAGGAGGCATAAAGGGGGTCACATTTTTAACTGTCAGGTAGTTTTAAATGCAATGTGTTTAACAGCTCAACAAACATCAGCAAACCCTCAAATTCGGCGCTGGCAAAGGTCGGCAGCCTTAACCCAATTTCCTTCGGGGTCAACCTTCAGGATCAATAAAGTTTTATTGAATTGAATTGAATTGAAATTATGTGTATTTTGTTTGACAGTGTATTAGCTAAAGGTCCAGCTGCTGTATATTCAGAAACGAGACAAGAATGATAGCTTCACTCAGAGATGCAGAAAGAAGTAAGAAAGAGGACTGGAGAGAAAGAAAGTTAGATTTAAAGGGAAGGACTGCTCAGTGACAACTAATAAACTGCACATTTAAAGATTACATGTCATCCTTTTTAATCACATACTAGATCTGTATATGATGTCTTTTTATAAAGTATGCATTTTCATATTCTGAAATATGCTGCAAAACAAACTGAGTATACAAACTTTGTGTTATTCAAATGTTGCATGAAAATACTGGGTAGTTTTGTGCAGGATAAACAGGTAAGCTTGCAGTATTGTGGTGAATTCACAGTAAAGCACTGAGTTGGATTGTTGAACCGTGGCTGTGGTGCTCATGGTCAGAGTTGGGTTACATCAAGTAAAGTATTTTAATTTGCATTTAAGCTGATTCTTAGATTAAATCACTGAATTCCACCTGTATACCAACTGTATACAGTCTAGTATCAGGACTATATACAGTACAATATACTGTCACTGTAGGAAATGGCAATCAGCAAAGCTAGCTCATTAAATAACTGCATCGCATTGAATTCAGTTATGTAAATTCACAAACAGCAGCAGGTTAGCTCAGCCTGTAGCTAAAGAAAATCTACTGGGGCTCACATTAAAAAATTAAAGTCAACCTCTGCAACAGAAAATAGCTTCTTCTTTTTTTAAATTCTCTTTCACTGCTTGTGTCCTACATAACAGATCCAAACTAAATATGTTCATAAGAATCTGATTAAATTTAAATAACATATATATTCTTTATAATATTATTTTGTTGTTTTTATTATATAGTAATATAGCACAAGCTTCAATTACCTTTGCATAAAAATACATAGCTACTTTTTACTTTTTTACGTTGACTACATTTCAGATTCTGTAAAGAAGTCGATTCAGTGCTTCTTTGGAGTCTTAACACAAGTATCTGTACTTCTATGTAAGTAAAGAATATATGTACTTTAGCCACCTCTGGTTGTCTTTATCTCTGTGTAAGCTCTGGGCCAGATGGCGAAGAGGCTGGATCTTTGATATTTGCCTGTATCTAACTCTTAGCTTTGTGTAGGTTTGCATGAAGAAACCACAAGTTTTTATGTGGATCAAAAAATTTCTCTGTAAGCCTTGAGTAATTTATAGCAACAAAAAAAGAACAACAAACAACAAACAACAAAAAAAGAATACAATAAGAGTCCTAAAGTTCCTTAATGAATGATGCATTTAAGGCTTTAAGTGCATCATTCATTAAGAGAGTACAGCAGCACACTCTCTCAGCAAAATGAATTTTGCATTGTATGCATGGAGTGATTTTTTTCCACCTACTTATTCCTTATTTGTCTTTTTATGGTTTTCATATGGGAAAGAAAAGACAGTAGTGTCTAATGTAAACTTAGGGAGATGTCATTATATTGTATACATGTCAGACCTTAAGGCCATGAAGATACTCCAAAATCGTGGCTTCTCATGGCATTTCCCTTCAAACTTCCAGTCTGGAATTCCAAGTCCAAGCTCCCTCCCTTCCTGTGAATGGACAGCAGTGTGATCGTAAAAAAAATATGAGCAAAGAAACACCCCGAGGGGCCACAATATGGAACTGAATCACTCTGATTTCCAGCCGGCGGATTAAAAATAAATTGTGTCTAAAATATTCAGGGGGACGTTATTAGTGCAGCTTTGCAGTTTCTTTCCTCCATCAAGCAGCTCCACGGTCGAACTGCTTTGGTTGCCTGAGGTTTCGGGTTCATGCATGCGCCTAAATTCATGTAAAAAAAAAAAAAAAAGGTAGGACTGGGAAAACAATATAATTGAAAATAATAACAAGCAAAGAGTAAAAACTGTAATGAAAAAGATAGCGACTGAAGTGACAAGTGGGAAATGGAAGTATGTCAAGGTGACACTACATTTTTATGTAAATCATGTAACAATAAACTGTGAACTCCTTAGATATGTAAGCCCTTATGTTAAAGCCAGGTTCATTCTAAGGTTAAAGGCTTTGAACAGAGACCATATGTG